AGCAAATCTGAACGTACTAGTCAGATCCGATCACATTGAGCTAGAAAGAAAATTCATCAGGAAACAGATGGCCGGCGACTTACTTCCAGACGTTGAGGATCTCGTTGTGCCCGGCGAAGACGCTGCGGAGCGCATCGCGGACGGACTGCTACTGAGAGAGCTGCCGCAGATGAACACGTTGTCCTGCAGGTAGTCCAGCAGCCAGGAATTAAAGATAGAAGGGCTAGAACTGAAAGAACTAACATCTTAGAAAGCAACAGGAGATGATTCATATATGCAAAATACATATGAAGTGGTCTTCACCAAAATTGTTGAAACATGAACGAAATGTTTTAGCAGTACCAATGATACATGTCAAATTAATTGTTCCTGTCATGACAATGTAAAAGTAGTACTTGCATGCCAATGAAGACTTGCTCATATCTAGTTCAGGACATGTGTAATTGTGCCAAGTTCACTTGTAATGCCATTATTCATGATCTGAACTTTATCCTCCACAAAATAAAATAATAGTTGATCCATGGGAATGATACTTAATTTTGAAGCTACTGTTAATTTATAAACTGAATATAAAGTGAGTTTATAAATTCAGAAACAGAAAATTCAGTTAGGCTACGTTAACTGAATTTTGGAGTGTATACTTAACAAAGGCTTCATTTGAATGTACAATCAAATTAAAAAAATGTGTTCATGGGGCAGCAGCACTAAGAACTGAAAGAGAAAGGTGCAGAAAAAAGCTACTGAAAAACAATATCAGAAGTAGTGCAGATGTTGTTGAGGCGCTGACTGAACCATTGATAGTACTACCACTCTTCTTTTTTGCGTCCATTAGCGTGACAGTGAGGTTACAACCTTTAATTAATCATGCAGTATGTGTATAAACTATAAAAAATAACTACACTGCCTGGTTTTCATCCAAATAAGAAAACAGAGCACAGACGATTTTTTTCACATATTCACATCATTGATACATGATGACATTTGATTGAGTGATGCAATGGTGGAAAAATAGAGTAATTGTTGTCCATCAGCTTATAAATGATTAATTATTACCTGCTTGAGGATAGGGGTGGCACACTTTCCTCTTAGAGCGAAAGCATCAGAGTAGGTTATTACCTGCTTGAAATACGCCCCAAATCCATACCTGAGATAACAAAAATACATGAGAAAAGCATTCTGGATCTCTCCGATTTGCACAACATACAGGATGTGCGATATCTGAACTTACGACAGGAGGGAGCCACGTATCAATCTTGGGGCTTCCTCGCTCGCCATGGCCGGGCACCATCATCCTCTGCTACTTCACCATCATCCTCTCCTCCAACGATGACCTGCGCAGGACTCGTACGGAGATATTTTTTAACACATCATACACAGATATAAATCATCTGAATCAAAAGCAAGCTGCATCTAGTTCATCAAATGTTAGATGTACAGATTTTGATCGTACACTGCAATGCAAACCATTCAACCACGAAGTAGCTAGAGCTAGTGATTTCAATTCTCTACCATGATGCATGCATGTATGCGTGCAACAAACCGCCAGACTAATTAAGCATTGAGGTAGGCCACATAATCCAATCCGGCTAGCTCGTAATCATATCCATACTAGGTAGCCGCTACGTAGTTAAGTCTGGACAGAGTCAGAGACTGGGATGAACACGTACATAGGAAGGAGCAGGAGACGCAGGGCCTTATCTGCCCATCCTCCGACCAGATCGGTGGTGTTTAAGGCCGCCTTAGAGCTCCAGCGGTACCTCCCCTGCAGGCAAACAGAGCAATAGGCAAAAATCAGCTGTGCAGATCGATTCAGAAGCAAGATTAATGCGGGAGAGGCACAGTACCTTCCGGGATGAGCGCCATGGATGCAGAGGAGGAGGAGGACGGCCGCGCGTCCCCCCTTGCCGAACTTGGTGCAGAACAACGCGGAGGCTGCTTCCTCTCCCGGCGCGTGGACGTGGAGAAGAAACCACCCTCCAACGGCGCCATCGCCTGCGACACCTTGGCCTTGCCGCCGGATCCGCCGCCGTTCATCAATCATGGGCCAGCTCAACGACGACGAGGATCTGGAAGCCTGGCTATGGCTGTGGCGGCTGGATCTGGGGCCTTGGGGTGGCGGGGAGCTCCTCCTCCTGCAGCTCGGCGGCCTCCACACCCCGGAGCAACGCCGTCGCCGGAGGACGTGGTCACCAGCTCTCCTCTGGATCCGGTGAGGAGGGTTGGGGAAGGAGCTCACCACGGCTCCATGCCCTGGATCTGGTGTGAGGGAGGGGGAAGGGGGCTCGTCGTGGTCGGGAGGGAGAGGAAGAGGCGGGCGGCCGGGGCTTCCCGATCTAGATCGAAGTCGAGGGAGGTGGGTGGGTGTGTCAGGAGGAAGGTGAGGGGAGAGAACGTGACGAGAGGGAGGGGATAAGGGGTGACAGCAATGGCGTACTGGTAGGGGTGCGCCATACGTATAGATAGCAATGGCGCATCTCTCACTAGTGCGCCATTACTAGTTAAAACTAGTAATGACGCATTATCTCCTGATGCGCCATTAGTATTTTTGAAAAAAAAATTTACTAGTGGCGCATCGTGGATGTGATGCGCCATTAGTATTTGGACACTAATGGCGCACCAACACATGGTGCGTCATTAGTATATTGTAGTGGCGCACCACATGTGTGTGGTGCGCCATTAGTCCATATTATCTATAGCCCTTTTCCTAGTAGTGAGTTTGCATGTATGACACTAGGCATGCAACTACAAGTGTCACCCCCCGACCGCAACTGCATGTCTTCTAACCCGACCGTAATTGTACTTTTTTTGTTCTGTCGGAGGGGGCACCGGTAGAGGGGCGGGCCAGTTGGAAGTCCGACAACAGCCCCTCAACTGCAAGTATCGCACCCGACCGCAACTGCATGTCCCCCAACATGATTGCAACTGGACTTTTGTTTTGTCAGAGGGGGTGCTGGGAGAGGGGCCGGGCTAGTGTGCATGTGTGGCACTAGGCATGCAACTGCAAGTGTCACCCCGACCGCAACTGTATGTCTTCTAACCCGGCCGCAACTGAACTTTTTTGTTCTGTCGGAGGGGGCACCAGTAGAGGGGGCGGGCGCGTGGTGTGGGTTTGATTTTTACTAAAGAACTAAAACTGTGTCATGATTTTTGAATTAGAGTTTCTATCATGTACCCCTTACTCATTTTTTTTCATTATCTTTTTTGTTCTACCACTTTGACTGTTCCCCAGAAAAAACCCAACATTTACCCCTTTCGCATTTTATTTTATTTTAGCAAAATCACTTCCACCACTTCTAGCATTCTATCACTTCTAGTTATTTTGGGGATTTCTTAGCTTTGTGTGTCTACTGGTGTGTAATACTAATACGGTAGCAAACCATTTCTCTTTCTTTCTTGGTCACGTGGGAGCGCATTTTCCTTTTCCAACCTGGGATATTTGTCTGGCCATTCGTTTCTGGGAGCAACTAATTAATGAGCGCTTCTTCGGGAGCCTCGCAATGATCAGCGTCACTTGGCATGCTCACAGCCATTCGCCACGTGTCGTGTTCTGGGCAGTGGCGGACCCAGAAGTAAAATGAAGGGTGTGTAAACTTCAAGAAAATTGAGGTCTATTTTCCTTGTCTTGGATGAGCCTTAAAAATAAGTTTATTATTACATGGTAAAAAAGCATTTTTTAAAATTCTGGGTGTGCCCGGGCACACCTGGCACACCCCCTAGTTACGCCACTGGTTTTGGGTACTCCCTCCGGATTTTATTTTTTTATTTTTACGCACACGTTTTCGGCTTTTTAAAAGTTTTTTTTCGGTTTTTTTTACGTTTTGGTTTTCTACCGGTCTTCCCTAACTTTTCAACAAAAAAAATCGAAAAAAATAATTTTTTTGCGCAAAAAAATGCAATTTTTTTCATGAGTCACGATTTTGTTTTCGCGAGAGGCACGGGCATGCCTCTTTCAGAAAGGAAAAAAACGCGTTTTTTTTTCTTCCGCGAGAGGCACGGTTTTGCTTCCGCCAGAGGCACGATTGTGCTTTCGCGAGAGGCACGGACGTGCCTCTTTCGGAAAGTATAAAAACACGTTTTCTGTTTAGTTTTTTCTTTCGCGAGAGGCACGGTTTTGCTTCCTCCAGAGGCATGGTTGTGCTTCCGTGAGAGGCACGGGCGTGCCTCTTTCGGAAAGGATAAAAAATGCGTTTTTTGTTTTTTTTTCTTTCGCGAGAGGCATGGTTTTGCTTCCGCCAGAGGCACGGGGCGTGCCTTTTTCGGAAAGAAAAAAAACCCATGTTCCCGGTTCGGTTTTTTCGTCGGTTTTTTCATATGGTTTTTTTCGTGAAAAAAAGTTTGTCAAAACCTATCAACATGGGATCTAGTTTTGAAGATCTCGACACGAGGAATCCAATGGCGAAAGCGGTTCGAGATTTAGGTGCGTCTAAGAGATAAAACATTTTGAATAAACGGATCTACGAAAAAGGGAAAACTCCCAGGTTGCGACAAGTGGCGCACAACACGCCACTTGTTGCAACCTGGGAAAGTTGGAGTGATCTCCGCAAGGAGTACTCCTTAATTAGTGATTTCGTTCGAAAGTTGGAATGATCTCTGCAAGGAGTACTCCTTAATTAGTGATTTCGTTCGTTTCCTCTGTTGTTTTTAAATGTTTCTACGAAAACACACACACACGAGCCAGCCCAAAGCAATCAAGCCCACAGAAAGCAATAAACAAAAGACAACCGAGCCCACAAACAAGCCCAGCAAGCGAACGACACAAAACCAGCGATCAAAGAGGCCAATCACCAACCATGTGGTGACGTCATTCGACTGAGACTTAGCGACTGAGACCTAGACGGACCCTTCGTATATAGCCTGGACTCAACAGAAAAGCCACCGGAAAAACGGAATCGATCGGATCCGGAACGAAAGATATCTTTCCATATCATATATTGGAACGGACTCGTCCTCAGATCGATCGCTCTGTTCAAAGAGGACGCAGCCGCACGTATCACACGACGATGGCCGCGTCATCAAGCTCGTCCGGCGGGTGCACATGGCCGGACCTCCAGCCGGAGATGTTGGGCGTCGTGCTCTCGCGGCTGCCGTCGCACGCCGACCGCGTCCGCCTCGCCGCCGTCTGCCGCCCATGGCGCTCCAGGGCGCGGCTGCTGCGTCCGCTACCCCCGCTACTCCCGTGGCTTGCCCTCTGCGATGGCACCTTCCTCAGCATCCCCGACGGCGTCGTGCACCGCCTGCCCGCGGCGGGACACGACGTCTCCGTCCGAGTCTCCACCGGCAGCACGCTCTTCCTCGTGCACGTCGACGACCACAATTGCTCCCTGATGAACCCTTCCCCGGTAGCGACGACCCCTGTCCCTGAGGCCGCCGGCTGGTTCCGAGAAAACCCGACCGTCCGGAAGGTGTTAATGTCCGATCACCTCGTCGCCGCCTTGGTGAAGTCCAAAGACATCTACGGTTCCAAGACCACGAAGGTCATCATCTCCACTCGTGGGCAGCCATGGGACATCACGAGGTGCTCCACCACGGAGTGGGCGGAGCCTGAAGACAGCCACGTCAACGACATTGCGCTCTTCCAAGGGAAGCTCTACGTCCTCCTCACCACAGAAGTGGAGGAATGTCGTCAACAGGAGCTTCGTATCCTGGACGACGGCCGCGAGCAGACAGCCATCGGCGGTACGGCTGACACGCATATCGACGGGGACGCATGGTACAATCCTTACTCGACAGACATGTACGTGCTGCGGAACTACCTCGTTGCCTCCGGCGATCGGCTGCTGATGGTGGAACGAAGGATTTACCAGCCGCCAATGTTTCCGGCAGACTCGGGGATTGAGGAGCAAACTCGACTCTTCAAGGTCTTCGAAGCAACAGGCCTGAGCAGCGGCTGTGGACACTGGACCGAGGTCGATACGTTGCTGGGGCGCGCGCTCTTTGTCAGCGAAGGCTGCTCAGAGTCTCTCCCAGCTGGGGGTCAATCTAGCGGCGTCGGAGTTCGAGAAGATTGCATCTACTTCATGAACGGCGAAACTTGTGAGAATCCCTTTCCAGACTCCGGCGTGTACAACATGAGAGACCAGACAGTGGCGCCGTTGCTGCCGGCGACGGTGGCGGTGCCCGCAGCCGGCTACGGTCCATGGTCTCCAACTTGGCTTTTCCCAGAGACTTGAGTTAAGCTACTAGGTACGCGGTACTACCAGATAGGATTACGTTAGATGTTGCAGTATGTATTGGTCACATTTTTTCCTTTTTCACAATACCCATTAGACACTTCTAAAGCCTATGCTCAAGACTGAACAAATAATCTTCTGTGTGGTATGGGGATATGGAATTGAATCCAAAACTAGTATCTACAGATCTGCACAGGCAGGGCGGAGAGCTTGTGCACAAGCAGACCCACAGAAGCAAGGTATGCCAAAACTCCTGTGAAGATATTGGGTATTGCAGTTTTTTAGGAAAAATACTCCCTCCCTCCCTCCCAAAATAAGTGTCGTTCAAAGTTGTACCAAGTCAGCGACACTTATTTTGGGACGGAGGGAGTATAAACTAGAAAGAATTTGCTTCAGAGCATAATTGGTTTGATGCCAAAAGTTGGCATGCCAAATAGTGATTGGTTGGCTGCCAACTTTTTTTGTCAATCTCACAAAATATTGTCAAATATTGGCAACTTCTGATTTTGCCAAATGTTGGCTTGCCAAATATTGGCAATGCCGAATGTTGGCATCAAACCAATTTTGCTTAATTATAGCAAGAAACAGTCTCCCCTACTACATGTGATATATCATCGGAAAAGGTAACAAATTCAAAGCTATTAAATGATTTGACTGCGAAATAGTGAGGTAAATATAGAAACCGATAGGGAACTCCAGATATTTATTGGTAGTTTAGGAGGTCAACTGAAGGATGTTAGTGGGTTTTACTTGTTGAGCTGTGTAATCAAATCCATTGAGTTCATATTTCATATGTTTGCATAGCTGGTTAATTGCAATGTCCAATCTATGACGGATCATGATGAAATGTAGATTCAGACAGAAGTCAGAACCAGCGGCCAATTTGAAATTCCAGCATCTATCAGATCAGCCTCCGTAATCAAATGCCATAAAAACAAACAATAATCATTGTCGAGTTTGAGATTCCTAATCTTATGCACTTCTATAATTCCTAACCATAAAACTTATCTTACACATGTTACTCAAACTGAATCCTTTAATGTGCACTCTGGTGAAGACCCGAGTTAAGCTAATAAGATTGAGGGCAGCCGTGCAGGTACAAAAACTGACTTTGTATGATTAGATTAAATAAATTGCCAGGATGATGTCATATTAGTTTGCAAACAAAATTTAGAACACATATTAATTTGCAACTTTTGCATCATTTAAGACGTGCTCATTACCAAAAACAGGGCCCAGAGCAACAAGCAATTAACATCGACCATAACTTCTGATGAAACAGACTACTGCAAAAGCGTGTTGCGAAACATTTGCATGTCATGCTGGAAATGTGATGAGATTCTAAAAGGTTTTCTGCTCAAACATGAGCTACTAGAAGATGTTAATCTAATTTCCAGGTAAGAAGATTAATGATTAGATTAATTCACATGCTACTTTTGTGAATTTTTATTTACAATGACCAAAAGGAATACCTCAGTTACACAAAAGAACCAAGGAATTCTGATTAGCAATCAATTCTACTTGATTTTTGCTTACAGAAATGTGGTCTATGACCCTGTTGATCTTTTCTTTCGGTAATAAAAAAAAGTAGGCAGACTATACAATTATAGTGTAGACTGTTCGTTGACCTATTAAAAAAGGAAGAACAAGGTGAACTTGTTCTTAACCTTAATGTAACATCACAAACAACAACCGAAACTACATTGATAGAGGTGAACAAGAACAGAATCAAATTTGAGATTTCTTACATGTTTAGTCTTGTTCCTCTGCTCAGCGGTTACCTGATATTGCCCCAGAAGCACTATCCCACACCTCAATAGACCGCTGATCAACTCTAGCCAATGCCATCCTGCTGCCTCCGAAGGCCCAGCTCACAATCTTGGCCTTCTCCTCGCCGTCTGCAGTGACCATCGATGGCCCATTCCCTACCCAGTTTTTCCTCATCACCTTCTTCTCCCCAGCCTCTGATGTAATTTCCACCTGTGTCCACACCTCAACATATGCGTCCCGTGCCACAAACACCCAATTACGGTAGCACTCAATTCTACAGTTATTTCCATCCTTCCTGCGAGATGCTGTGGCAGCTCCCGCCCTTTGTCGGTCTCCGATGCACACCCAAGGATCAACACTGGTGCCATTACCACTAAGTCTCCTCAAGTCAGCCATGAAAACCTCACCTGAGGCAGCCCCCACCTTAAACAATGCTGACAGCGAGTCTGATGCAGTAACATCTGCAAAGCAGTCCTCCTTCTCTCTCACCTCCCACACCGGCACCGTCGAGCTTGCCCGGACGTCCCACAGGCGTATGTCACCCACCATTCCAGCCGGCCCGGAGTGTGACCCAGCGGCAAGCAAGAGACTGTGCCCAGCAAGCCAAGCGAGCTTGGTCGGTGGTATTGCTGCCTCAACGTCCGCACCAAACACCTCCTTCCGCCCAATTTCCACCACAGGTGACAGAGAATTCAGATCGAACGCCACCACGGCGCTCGAATTCCGTCTCGCTGACTCGAAGCTGGCAAAGAGCCAGTGTGATGCCGCTTCTGAGGCCGCCATAGAGAGCACAGAAGAAGAAGGCGAGTCTGGCCAATATAGAGCCTCCGAAGCTGTGGCAGGGGCGTCGGCCAGGAACCGGCAGAGCTGGACGCCAGGAAAGTCGCGGGCGCCAGCGAGGGCGAGAGCGGGGGACACCGCGACGAGCGAGTCGATGGTGGGGAGCGGCGTTAGGACGCTGGTGCGGGAGGCGAGCGCGGCGTCAAAGCTGGTGACGACCCCGCCGTGCGCGGCGACGAGGGAGGCCGGGTGCGGGGAGGGGGCTATGGCCACTGCGGAGGGAGCGACGCGGCCGG